AAACAAAAAAAAATTGAAGAATCACCCTAATATGATTATTCTGAAATTAGTGCAAACAAATGTTCAATAATAGCTTCTTATTTTTTTCTCTCCAATAGTTTCAAATACTACAGACTCCCAGATTCTTACCCAACAAGCTCCACAACCATGAAGGACTTTCAAGTCCAACCTCTTCAGAGGCCCCTTGTGACGGTTTGGATGCCGAGCCTGGTCACCACCCACTGATGCCCCAGTCCTGCTCCCCAGACCTACAAAGTCCCATCACTGTTAAGTCTACCCCAAACTGTGCTATACCAACGGTAACTATATCTGCTGATAGCTCTGCTGCCTTCTCTTCCAGAACTTTTCAGAGCTCTGATCCTGCTGAGCTTGGCCTCATGAGCAGCCAGGTTAAAATCAATGAGCCAGCAACCCCACCAGCTTCTGCCAGCTTTTGCTGCAAGCTAGAAAGAGGTATACAAAAACTTCCTTTGAGAAGAAGCAATTTTTCAACTCTACAGCCACCCACTTCTATTAAGAGAACTTCGACACTCATCAAGCCCCAGGAAGTACAACGGGTCAGTGTGTTTACCGGAGCCCTGGGTAGGTTTGGAGCCACAGGTCTATCCAGAACAAGACATCAACCTTTATCAGCTGCCGGACTGCTTTGCATCAACCCAGCCCGACAAACTACCATGCACAGCACCACTGCACCAATATTTAACCAACAAAATCAAGGGTGCAGACAGTCTTTATTGCTCAGAAACATAGAAAGCAGTTTGCCCAGAGCCAGTGCCCCCCTCCAGCCCAAACATTCCCGCCTTCCTAAGCCAAAGGCAATTTCTTCTCTACCAAACCCTGTGGCTCAGCAAGGTCAAACAACAACCTCCCCTGCTCTGCCTTCTCATATGCTTCCACAATTCTAGATTAGCTAAGCAGGGCTTTGGGCATCCCACCAGAGTGTAGAAAATCTGCTTCTTAAGGCCCTGCTTGTAAGGCACCAGTCAAGTATCCTGGCAGTTATGCTTACTATGTACAAAACATGACATAATGCGCTAAGTTGTAAGAGACACTACTGTCAACCTTGTACCTATGCACCTTGCATAAGATATTGCTCCTTTGATAGATTAGCAAGGCACCACTTCTCTAGGATAACGACCAAAACCAAGTAGAGTGTTGTTATTGCTCCCACATGAGTTTTTTTTGTATTGCTCTCATTGATTCTGTTGAGAGAGACTTGCTATTTCCTTTCTTAACTACCACCACTGTATGTGCACCGCGTGGGCCATGATGAAGGGGTGCCCACTGAGATTTTCAGAGGAGCCGTCTCTTCCAATTGCTTCTCTACCCATCTCTCTTTGTACCTTTGTTCTTTGCCACTAGCATGAAGATTGTGTCCTGCTGGAATTGGCCTCCCACCACCGTACCTAATGAGAGCAAGTTCTGGAAGCCAAGTCAGTCTTAACAGCAGAATGAGTTGTAAGGCCATGAACATAATGTAAAATGGAAAGAAAAAAAAAGGAACATTAGCCTATACAGTGTGGGAGTTTGAAATGCAAGGTTACTTTGTAGTGATTTCACCAAGTAGGACATGTTTTTGATTGATACAACAGTTCTTTCTGGTCCTCGAATCTGATTGGCTGATAAGAGTGTGATATTAGAGTCCAACTTAACTCCAACAGCCGTTTCACCGTTTGTATCACTCCATCCCTAAACCTACCCCTTACAATAATGCAAAAATAGTAATTATTGTTGTACAGTGTGACAAAAATTACACTATATTGATGTGCACATGACCATTAGCCACAGCTGTCTCCTTTCTAGCCTTAAAGGGATAGTTCACCCAAAAATGAAAATTTGATGTTTATCTGCTTACCCCCAGGGCATCCAAGATGTAGGTGATTTTGTTTCTTCAGTAGAACACAAACGAAGATTTTTAACTCAAACCGTTGCAGTCTGTCAGTCATATAATGGGAGTCAATGGGCTCCACGGCTTTGAGAGTCAAAAGAAACATACACAGACAAAACCAAATTAAACCCTGCGGCTCGTGCAGATAAACATCAAATATTCATTTTTGGGTGAACTATCCCTTTAACCCACAAATCCACTATAACTTAAAAAATAATACTGTTTTGTGTCACGGAATATAGTTTTAAGAGTTTTTTAGGCGAGAATGTACTTGTTTGGACTTCAAATATGTGGTTTGTTAAGAAAGATAACGTCTATTTGAAGATTTGTTTCAACGTTTTAGGAGATGTGATCTCCAGGGCTGTTCAGCGCTCATAAACGTCATATCCTACTTGGTAGAGTCGAGGTGAATTATACTTGATTGTGACTCACAGGAATCAAGGAATGCTTTGTGTATGTTTGCATTTTGGCAAAACAAAACACACAGTGATTCAAGAGCAGTGCCTGATTGCAAATCATAGAACAAGGAACTTGTTAATTTATTATGAGGTGCAGCTCTTACTAGCTGGACTCTGTTAAACTCACCCTTCTAAACTTCGCTCCCCTCTGGGTCATTGAACCAATGCAACCAGTTCTGCTTGACCCACTCTGAGTGGAGCTTGAACTGGCAACAGTCAACACAGGAGGTGTGTGCGCTCACAAGCACACTGAAGATTGCAGCCTCTATCGTCAGTCGCTAGTACGCCTATTGAGGCCAGGTTTACGTGCGCATCTCTTACTAGCTGGCCTCTTTTTACATCCAGTCCATACAGTGCTACACTCCTCAATTTCTTCTTAGCTTATTTAATTTTTGTTCTAAAAATGAGGAATAATAATTATATATAGATTTCATTTTAAAAGTAATTTTTTTTAGCCTTATTCCCCTTTTCTCACAGTCTCTACTTCCACACAGTTTAGAAACGGGAAACATCTTCCCACTTTATCTACTCTTGTAGTTCAATCTTATGAAAAATAAAATGTCCAAGCTTTGCGGCAGCAGCCCCCAACTTTCATTTCACATTTATTCACAACAAGATTCAGGTTGTCTGATTGCCTTAGCAAACATTGCAGGAAATGGTTAGCGCAGACACGGACTTATTTGGTACGAATCTGTCAGGCCCTTCAGTCAGCGCGACAGCTTTCTACATGAGTCAAACTGTTTATCCCTGCATCTCAGTTCATCCTTTTTCATTTATCTCATCCATCCTTTGCGACTTCAACATGCTTGCAGATGCCATTTAATGAGGCTGTCGAGATGGCATCCGCATTGCATTAGACGCTGTTGATGTTAAAAGGGTTTTAATGATACAGATCCTTAATATGGTGGAGAGGAACCTGACACAATAGCTAGATTAATGCCAAACCCTCACCCTAATCCCCAAATCCTCTTCAACGTACACTCACCTCACAAAATTCTCCCATCGCTACTTCTATTCTCTGCTTGTGGCCTCAGCTATTGCTGGAGAGAGTATACTGTAGATTTGAGTGAGTAGACAATATCTCTGCTGATGAACCGTAGATGAGATGAGGTGTTCTTTTGCTAAAGTGCTTTGGAGTGAAGACGTTCTGAGACTCTGTCGATGGAGGAGAGTAGAGCCCTTACTGAAGGCTCAAGCAAACAATTTAGTATCTTATACTCATTCTACTGACAAAAAGCAGCCAGCAATATACATAGCAGTGTTTTCCTACTTAAACATGAAACAAGTAGCAGCAAAGCTTCTTTGATTATGAATATCATTAAAGTATAATGGATAAATGTTATTGAACCTAAAACGACTGACTGTGTACTTGGCCGCGTTGTGTTCTCCTTTGTACACAATGAACATTCACACAAGTGTCTTAGAGAAGTGTGTAGTGCAAGTGTAGTACATTGTTCCAACGTTTTCCGGCCATCTTCATTTTGAATACTACACTGTAAACCTGTCTGTTGCTTCTTAATTTAAAACCTAACTTATTGTAAAAGTTTTGCTTGGAATGTATACTTGTGCTATCTATCTATATTGTCACCTAATGCCATGACATTCATACATTTTTAAATGTGGCTTAAGTCCCCAAATACTTTTTGACATTTACCACATAGCCCAGCTATTGTGCTTGCACTCCAGTAGTCTGCTGGAACCATAATCTAATTTAGGACATTTCGGTTACATTGTGATGTGGAGAGGAAAGGAAGGATCAATATGCAGACAACCAGAGTTTGACTCACTCTTATGCCCATACTCTTTTCTTGTCTCCACTCCTAATACTCAGTTACACTTTACTTCTAACAATAAATAAAACTTATAAACAGGCTAAATGCAACGCAGCGCAATGCTCTGTGCGTTCAGAGAATAATTTGATCCAGCTAAGGCAAAGTGGGCAGGAGCGGGACTGAAAAATCCGACCTCTACCTGCAGGCTTTTGTGGGCGGGAGCAGGTCAAAATATTACATCAATTTTGCAGGAGTGGGCCAGAATCTCACAGGAACAAGCTGGAGCCGGTCTGAAAAATCCAAGAAATGTTATGTGGTACACTACTGTCTTTACATCAGTATAACGGTTTAGAAACTAGAAAATAATATCTATCACTTTTATTTAAGTCTGTATAAAATGCACAAACATTAAAATGCTTCTGTGGCCTCACCATTTTTGTGGATTACTTGAAATTTTTGATTTGCAGCTATATAATACTTGTATTTTGTCTTTTGTGGTGGTACCTATAATAAACACTAGTTTATTGGGAAGATGAGGGTATACATAAATGAGGGTTTCAGCTTCTGATTTCTTTTGCCTCAACTGATGCATGCAAATGTTTAAGGAACAATATCACTCATTACTGTATGTCCCCCTATTATATATAGTATCAGATGCAGCAACATGTTAATGCATAACGGAGACACATTTATTAGCTCATTTTTGTAATGTTTTTATTGTTCTTTTTGTATACCATCTGCTCACTTAATTTGTGCTACATTATAACTGTATGCAAATTGCACTGCCTTTTAATGTAAACTTCTTTTCAAACTTAATTTATTTGTGCATTTCCAAGTGTGTGTGTGTATGTTACTGATAAAAGAATACCCCTTAATCAGATATGCACTTTAAATGTAGAGATGAGAGATGTCTTCATGTGCTTTGCGTCTCTCCATGAGGCTCAGTGTAAAAGAGCTCTAAATAAAGACAACACCAAAAGCTACTGCAATCTTTTTTTTTTTGTCCAAGTATGTGTTTGTGTACGTCTGTGAGTGTACTGTGTGTATGACCTTTTTTTTAATGAAACACATGAACATGTAAAGATAACCTCCCACACGCATTTAAAAAAATAGGGTGAATTTTCATTTTGTGTCGACTTTAAGATGTCAAAATTCTGGACTATTGATAATACCTATAATATTGTGAGATTGATTTATGTTTATGTAAATTGGGTAATTTGGTTATACTTCTAGGTGATGTAACTGACATCATTGATAAGGATGGGGAATGGACGTGCTGACATGCATAGAGTGAGTGTGTGAGAAGAAAGTGAAGCGTGTATAATATGGCTAAGCTATAAAGCATGGTGCTCCTACAGTTTTTCTCAATTGCTAACACACTATAACTGATTCATTTGGCACAATTTTCCAAACCATTCATACAGTTCCTGAAACTATATATACAGACCTCTTCCGTTACAGTAACATGTATCTGCTCTAATTATGTTGTATACTGTAATAGACATTGAGCTGTAAAATGATACCTTTGTGTTTAGAGTTTCGAGAAAAGGAGTCACAATTTCAAGAAATGTGTTTAAGCAATCGAGAACAACTGTAAAAGCATGAGCTCTGTCAAATAAGACAGTAAAGCTTCATATCTCCATGTTTGCCTGCATTATTATCTTAAACCCATCTACAAGAGACTGGAGATTCCTCCTATGTTCCACAGCCCCTCTTATAATATTAAAGTCAAGAAAAGGTGGTAGAACCTTTTCCTTTTTGACTTTTAAGTTGAAATCTAAATTAAAGTTTAAATTGATTTGAATGAATCTCAAGCATTAGTCAAGCTCATATCACAGACCTTTATCCAATATTGTTTTCTGAAGTACATGCAGATGAAATGTCTTTTGTTATTGGTAAAGTCCTTCCTAAGCACTACAAAATTACAAAAGCTACACATAAAACATTTCATTTGGAGTTGGAGGAAGAACTGTTGCAGCTGTCTGGTGTCTAGTTCCACCTACTCGATCCGGTGCATACCAAAGTCATTACTGGTATTACCATTTGCATATTTAATCTTTGAAACTGCTCCCACACCCATTTGCTGACTCAAGGCATCTAATACAGGAGTGTGGAGTTACGACAGAGAAAAGGGAATATGACAGGGGCTCATGGTTTCACATATAATTCTTACCAAATAAAAAAACTTCTGCTCAAATTCAGCTAAAATGGTCCAAAATAATCCAGAACGCAAAAGTAGAAATAACTGAACGTGCCATTCATCAGGTCTAATTTTTTTCTCAGCCACTTTAAGCAGTCTTGGCTTCCACAGCATTTGAATTAATTGTACACACTTGTAACAGTTGCTATTAAAGCATCCTAATTTCCTTGCCATTCATCTTAACTCCTACCTCAAGGACTTAAAGGTCCCCTGAAGTGCCTTGAAACACGCAGTGTTATTCTATGTGGTGACATAATTTCAACTGAAACAGGAAGACAGGGCGGGACATATCGAGCAGCCCCGCCCCCTTTTAAAATTAGCCAATAGCGTTTTGTTTATATCTGCACTGGTCAGAGCCGTTGACAGCCACAGTCTAATAGATTACCCCCTAGATTCAATATGAAACTCTTAGTAAAACAAAATAGTGGTCATAATCATGCTGAGGCTGTGTAGTTTTAAAAGTTTTAAATATATGCCGACTCGTGCATATGATCTGCTCCGTGTGATCGCGTCTCTGGACCGGAGCCAAAGTCCGGA